AAAGTAGAGCAAGAAATTGTAAGCTTCCTAGTTGATGCCAGGTCCTGTGCTTCACCAGTAAGCTCAGCTCTCTGCTAGGCCACCTGTAGGTGATAGTTGGGCAACCCCCTCGGTGCCTCCTGATCCTCCTGGTCAGGGAAGGTTTGTGCACAGAGGAGACATCACTACTCTGAGTGGCACATAAAGCCAGTGCCTAGACCATAATGAGGGTTCAATACCAATTATATTGTCTGTGGGTTGTTGGGTCCATTAACCAGGTGTGGGGGCTCCCCTGCACAGAGAGGAAAGAAGGAAGAGGGGGCCTAAGAGCATGCTTATGGATGATGGAGAAGGAGGAAGGACTGAGACAGGAGAGGGTCGCAGGGACTGCAGCTGCTTTCCAATAGTTATGCCTGCCTTCTCCCTTAGTGATAGACTTCTGATTTCACTCAACCAAAAAAGCACGTGGCTGTATTTCCAATGCCCTTTGTGCCTTGGGGCAGTCGATGAGACATGAGGGCAATAGGTTGTGAGAAATTCCCAAGGAAACTCTTTAAATGGTGCTGATACTGCAGGAATTGTGCCCCCTTCCATTATTCCCCTTTGTTTCCCCCCTGGAGCCCAGATTTGACAGCTGACAATCTAGCAGCCACATGCGACCATGGTGCACCCTTGGAAAGAGAAGCCACGTGCCGAGGTGGGTGGAGCATAAAGACAGACAGTGCCTGAGGTCTTACCATAACACCTGGACTGCCCAACGAGATCTATTCTCTACTTTGTTTAAGCCAATGTATGTTGGTCTCTGCTGGCAGTTGAAAGCAGTCCCTAACTGATATAAGGAATATCAGAAGCTCCACAAGACTCCGTGACATTAGGCTCAATACAAGCTTTTTTTATGCTGACAAGATAGAAATTGAGACGGAAAAGTCAGATCTACCTGAAACCAAACCCTAATAAGATGTGTGTTGGTTGCCTAATGAAACCAAATAAAGTGACAACCCTACACCTGTCCCCTCCCCTGACCCCCCCTCCCCCCATTCCATTAAAGGCCAGGCTTTACCATTGAAGCACAGTCACACCTTAATTAAGTACTTTATGAGCCCAAGCAAGACTGGCATGAATGGATCAAAATGCTGAAACCATCCCCCAGAAAATCAAAGGAGCTTGGTATCCCCATTAAACTCAGCAAGGAAGAGGAGAAGAAAAAGGAAGAGGAGGACCTTCATCTAGAAAATGCTTCTAAATAGATGATCACTCCTAAACCATATACTTCCTACAGAATATTAGTGTTTCTGGGGACTATATGTTCAAATGCTTTTATCAAGCAAAGGTACGGAGATGGAAAGTTACTTTGCAGCATGTGATTGAAGTTAGGTCTTAGGGTCATGATGTCAACCATCTACTCCCTATCTCACCCTGTGAATCACATATGCAAGGGGGACTTCAACATTTTATGGGGGAAAGTCAAGTAGCCTTTAATTCCATTTCCCCCCGAACTTTTTGAAACCCTCTTCTATTGGGCTCTTGGCAGGGGCTCATTTTGCTTTTCAAATGTTTTCCATCACTGAAACGTCTTCATCTTATTCCTCTCGTTTTTTCCCAATCCCTGGTTCAATGATATAGACAATTGAGTTGGCAAAGCGATATGTTTTCACGTTCATGATGATCAGTCCTCGGCAGGAACTTAGTTCCGCATGTGATGAAGCCCCGTGTGAGGGGAAGACTAGACATATTCCATATGTGCCAGGTCTTTCTACCGCATGGCGCTTGTCCTCCAGCTGCCGAAGAGAGAAGAAAGTGCTGTGTCCCAGTGCATGGCAAAGCCATCAAACTCCACGAGGGCAAGGAAGGGGAAAAGACCAGAGCAGACCTGGGTTTCAAGGAACAACTTCCTGCGCGTGTGAAATGAGAAGCAGGCGATACGGTGCTTGGACAAAATGAACGGGTGAAGCAGAACCACAGAGTGCTTCGAAGATTATCACCTCTTTCCATCGTCAGTCTCCGCCTCTTCCTACTCCAAGTCCTGCAGCGGAAACGTTTCCAAATCATGTTGCTCTTTCCATTCACCATGGCACCCAGTCAGATAAGAGGGATCTCATTCCTTGTCAAAAATAATTTCTGACCCTATAGATGACTCCCTTCTCAAGTGACTTTAGTAATTATCTTTCAACTCCCTTGTTTACGCAAACAAAGAAAATGGAGAGTCTGATTATGTGTAACAGGTTCCAGGGGACCTAGTAGGTTGGGAACAAAGTAAGAAGAGCTAGAACTCAACTGTCCCAATTCCAATTTAAGACTCTTTTCAGATGTAGCAAAAGATTAGGCACGTGGTTCTTTGGGGACCCCCAGAGAGCAGGCAGGCGTCTGAGTCTGAGCATCCGAAAGAGCAGACCACCGCAGGAATGCTTTCAACTCAGTCTGCATCAATTTCATCATCTGAGATAACCAGACCTGCTCCTAGGAAGATGGCAACGCAGAGTACGCATGCTGTACTCCACAAATGTCCTGCAACAGGGGCACCTGGGGTGGTCTCCAAGCAAGGGTCAGCAGCCCACCAGACCATGAGGTCTTAAGACACCTGCCTTGAGTCACCCCCTGCCATGCCCACTGGGTCACTGATAAAGTCAATATTCATGACATGCTCACTCAGGCTCCCCTTTCGAGAGCCAGGGGCTCAGCCTTCCACAATTTACTCACTAGAAGGAAGCATCCAAGGGCCTGGCATTCCATGTACAGCATCACGACATGCTAGCTGCTTCCAAAGGATTTATCTCCTAGGTGACCACAGCCTTTGTTAAAGCACCTCACCCAACGGCCAATGCCAAAATAACTGTGGTTCAGTCATGCCAATTTTTATTTTCTCTTTCTCTCTCTTTTTCTACCTCAACTGTTTTCATCTATTTATTGTACTTTCCTCAGAGCTTATCTTCTGGCTGCAATGACCTACAGAGAACCCCTAGCTTCCGGTACCCAGCTTTGTGGCAACAGCATTCTAATCTCTGACATACTTTGGGGTTTGGAATGTACCTGGGTACAGAGTTTGGTCACTGACCACCAAGTCTCTCTCGGAGGGATAACTTGTGAAAATAAATCTACTTTTGGGAGTTTCTAGAAATGGAAATTTCTGGGAGAGTTCTTAGTGGAATCCTTAGCTTAATTAAGTCAGAAAGAATGAAGCTATCCAAGAAACAGGCTACATGGTGATAAGAAATATGGGCCCAGGAATCAGAGAGAAGAGTTGCGTGCTCACCCTGCCCTTGACTTTGTAACTTCTGACAAGCACTTAGCCTCAGAGCCTCTCTGCAATACAGGAATAATGCCGTCCCCAAGAAGTAGGAAGAGAAGTCGATAGTGGAGCCCCTGGGCCAAATAAATGCTCCGCACAGCTACCCAGGCATTTCAGAACAAAGAATGTGCGGTTTTTGCTTGACTGTCTTGGAGGCCGCCTATTACCATAGTTACCATATCAGTGTGCACTCCACTGAATGTACACACCTCACGTACCCTTGTATCCAATACCAGCTTTCCACGGAGTTATCTCCTTGGACAGCAGAGCTCTGATTTTAGAGAGGGTTACTGGCATTTAATCTTTTAATATCAGGCACATTTGTCATGATAAAGTCTACCCTCACCAATGGTAAGCAAATGGGGTTGAAAGGGGTCCAGAATTTTCTTCAGGAACGGCCCTTGTGGACAGGAAATTTCTTGGTATAAAACAGCATTGGGGAAAGGCCCTTTTTGGCAGCCTGGCTGGCATGCACATCCTCCCTACTTAGGGACACGTACCGACACCACCGTAGCACTATCGGAGCTGTTAGAAAGCTGAAAGGCATGCATCCGTGCCAGCGAATGCTCGGCTCTCTCTCCGAGAGCAGGGAGAGCAGGCTCCTGAAGGGTCTTTGGCAAACTTCCTGTTCTTCCTGAAGCCTAGCAACTAACCTCATCTGCAGGAAATGGCATTTGAGTATTAAATGCAATCGATGAGCACACATCCAAACATCTCAAAGGATGTTCTCTGGACCATAACGTTGGAAACATGCATGAAAGCTGCGGAGCTAGGAGGAAACTTCCTTTCGAGAGTGCTTCTGCAGGAGCCACAGAGAAAGTTCGTACATGGGACCTTAGAGAAGGCAAGCACGGACCATCTTCTTGGGGAAACAAAAAATCAGAGATGTAGAAGCTCCAGTACAGTCTTACCCAAGCATACCCTTGGGCTCTAGAAATAGTATATTGCCCTTAGATGGAATGAGCTGAGGCTTGAACAAACCGCCCACGAGTAAAATTGTCATTCCTAAGGAAATTCATAGACGCTCTCAGAATACTGATCAAATCTGTAACTTCCCCTTCTTTTAAATATTACAAAACAACAACAACAAAAAACCTGCTTCCATCTTGCTTATCTCCAATTAAAACCTTTTTAGTGTGTTTAAAGCCATGGACATTTCTTGAAAATTCTCAAGCTTTCATCCCAAAGGCTTTTTTTAAAAGCAGAGCAAAGAATTCTCTGGCAGTTACTTACGGCAGCTAGAGAAAACTTTCCTTTTATAAAGTGAAATCCAAAACATCTGACTGTACATGTGATCCTTCACAGACAATGTCTCTAGTTTCAATGAACAATAGTTATATAAAAAAGCTTAATTTACTGTCATTGTGTCAATTTCAACTCATAGCAACCCTATAGGACAGAGTAAAACTGCCCCCCTTTGAATTTCAGAGACTTTAAATTTTCACCAGAGCAAACTGCCTCATCTTTTGCCTGTGGAGTGACTGATGGATTCAAACCACTAACCTTGCTGTTGGCAGTTCAACTTTTAGCCCACTACACCACCACGGCTCCTCTGCTAAAAATATTTCTCCCAAATTACAGACCCACCCATACTGGGGCTCTCCAAGCAACAGCACATCTCCTCCTGTGGCCTAGATCAGCTCATAGCCATGATAAGCACCCCTGAATACCTCCTTCCCTAGGCAGAGTCAAAAGAACAAAGCCCGGAGCCCTTGTGGACCCCAAATTCACTCACTTGTCTTCTGCGAAACTTTTCCCAGTAATAATGTTCTTCCCGCGGGGTACATAGTTCCAGTATTCTTCCACAATCCCAATGTGGTATGTTCTGGTAACTGCGCCAACCAGCCCAGCCAGACCCAGGAATGTGAGGAGTAGGGTGCAACCAGCTTGCTGCTCCCGAGGCATTTGTGGATGTAACTCAAGGAGCAGACTGCAGAGGAGACAACCCTGCCTGTCCCTCCCCCTCACTCAGAGCTAGTTATAAATAAGGAATGGACAAAGCCCAGCTCCTCCTCCTAGGTAGCTTGGGGTTGGGACAGATGGACAACTTGGGAAAGCAGAGCCAGCTCGATGGGGGAGCTGCTAGGCTGACAATCTTTGGCTGGTCATCTAAGAAATGGATCCTTTATTCACTGCCCACGCTAAACAGGCCTGTTTCTGTCCATTTTGGTCTTGGCTGTGACATTAATCATTGCTCTTTGTCAGGATGGCAGTGGGACAATTAGAGTTGATGGGTTCCCCTCTTGTTGTCTTGTCCTTTGTCTCCACGCCTATTATAGGAACATATTAAAATCTGAAAACTGGGCTGGCCTGTATGGAGCATCAGGAAATGGCCCAAACACTGAAGAAAGCTTCGTCTCTGTTGGGAGGCAGCGGGTGACGCAACCACCCCTCTGCCATCTCCAGCTTGTTTTATGGGGCTACACGCATCAGTCAGCTCACATCGTAAAGCAAGTAACCACACCATAAACGCCACTAACCCCATCTGCGCATGCTTCATGTCCCTCAGTGTCTCTTCATTAAATCTCATCAGCAAAAATGAAGTGTTGACTGCTGAGTTTCACCGAAATTTTGGAGGTGAACATCCCACTTATATGTTTTTCCTCTTCAAAAGAGCTGGCCTTTCCCAGGGGGAAATGGTAAAGCGGGAGCAGGGGAAGCCTTCAGGAACAGCAGGTCTTTGGGTCTAACAGGTGAAGGGCGTGTCCGTTCTTCTGCGTGCTTGAATCTGTGACCTAGAATCCCGGTGTTGAAAGAGATCCCAACCCTGGAAGAGGGCCAATCTGATACCCGTGCTGAGCTGCTTGTGAGGAAGCTGCCATGAGATGGAAGACACCCTCCCCAGGGCTTGAACAGACCTGGGGTGGGACCGGCCTGGGTTTGAACCAAGCTCCACGGCTTCATAATTTCGTGATAGTGAGGAATATCAATGTCTATGAGCCTCTGACTCTAAACAGGAATGGAGGACTTGCTAAGATGATTTTAAAAGAAGAAGAAGAAGAAGGAAGAGGAGGAGGAGAAAGAATGCCTGTAAATTGCCTTCTAGGATACTCAGCAAGTAGCAGGTGTTATATGCACATTGAAGACTAGCTGTCTCCACCCCACACCTAGGAGAGACTTCGTATTGGCTTGTATGTGAACAGAGCTGTATATCTACCACTGTCTGTCTGCTAGCTTTCCCCTACTCTTTCTCGAAGTCCCATCTACCATGCCTCCCACCATCTCAAGTAAGAGAATTCTTCCTCTTTAAGTTGTAGATATTTTATAGTTGCCATAGTCCCATTTTGACATCACATTTTAATGAACAAAATACTGAATAACTTGTTTCCTAGTCATGCTCCTTCTATCTTTAGTTTTTGACTTTTTAAATCCTGGTAATATAGCAGGGTACACCACACTGCCAGTTCACTGCAGTTCATACCCATCAGCCACTCCATGGGACAAAGATGGGGCTTTCTAATCCTGTAAAGATTCATAGCCCTAGAACTTCACAGAGGCAGCTCCCCTCTGTCCCTAGGGTCACCATGAGTCAGGATTGATTCAAAGGCAGTGAGCTTGCTTTGTTTGTTTGCTTATTAGTAAATGGCAAAAAACAACGCTACTTTGGTGAGTAGCGACTGGGGTATTTGAAGCTTGTGATTGGCTATCTACAGTTCAAGTATTGGTCTCTATCTGCAAGAAAGAAGAGTTTTGAAAATCAATGACAAATGGAAACAATTAGTCCAGTGGATAATGGGCCACATGAATATTAGTCTTGATGGACCCTGGGATAGGAGATCTAGATAGTGCCCAGTTACCATACACTGTTTCTTTGAAAGAGATCGCATTAGGTAGAGTGGCAGAAAAATGTAGAGCAAAATTCAAAATCATTGCAACGCCCAGGTTTGCTGGTCACATGAGACTGGTGGAAGTCCTGGGACTATGAACATTAGTTATCCTTCATGTCTAGAATTGCACTCACGCCCCCTGGCTCTATTTTCAGATAAACCATAAACCATAAATTTATAAGGAGAACAATAACATTAGTGAGGTATGCAACTTTAGAATGTTTGGAGATCAGAAAACATTCAGAAGGATTAGTACAGCAGGAAACGGGTCACACGGAGAGAACACGAGTTACGTGGTAGTACACTGAGGGGACCGCAGTGAATGAGATGGAGCAGGTGCGTCTGAGGTGTTGAAGGTAAAACTGGCGACCTACTCTGCAAGCCTTCCCCCAAGTCACAATAAAATGTAAAACAGCAATCAGGCAGTGCAGCAGGGAAAGGCACAGATAAGTGGAGCACAGGACATTTTAACGGTAGTGAAACTTTTGTGTATGATACTTAAACTTTTGTGCATGGACACATCACATGCATGTCAAACTCATGATGCTGCACAAACGAAAAGGGAACTGAGTTGGGGTCAATTCAATGGCAGTGGGTCTGGGGTTTCACTTAAACTGTGGGTTTTAATGATGATGTATTAGTTCTGGTTCCTCAACTATAACAAACATACCCCACTAATGTGAGATGCTAACAATAAACAAGGAAAGGCATATATGAAAATTATCTGTCTTTAAAACATGTAATGAAAGCTCCTTTTCTGGAAACCCAGAGTTAAAACAAATGTGCTTGTGAGCAAAGCCGGGCAGAGGCCACCTATGCCCTCCTTTGACTCCAGCAGGGAGAAGGAGAATCCGTCTCCACACAAGCCCAAGACCTGCTGTCACAAGGCAGAGGCCGGACATGCCTTCACCCTCAATCCTTTGTATCTATTCTGACACCAACCATTCTTTGCTGTGTTTGATAATTCATTGCAGTGACCACACAATACTCACGATTAAGGGGGTTTGTTAGGGAAGTTAACAAGTTACCACAGCCAGGATTGGAGAGCATTAGGATATAGCCTTTTGTCCACAGCAGCACCCCCTCATCAGCCAGCCACTAAGTCTTTCTCTAGTCCTCAGTCTCTCTGGCCAACAGTCACTTGGCTTCTGCCTTCCTGAGCCAGGAAGCCCGCCTGCCACTGGAGAGTCTCACTGTCCCAGCACCGCTCCCCTGCCCCATCTCATGATCTTCTCGCCTCCGCCTTGGATCCTGGCGTGGCATGACGTCTGCTGCCTCTGACACTTCAGCCAGGGATTCCCAAAGTCCTCTGTGGATGGCTCTTCTTCCTTGAAGGCCCTAGGAATTCTCTTTCTTTTCCTGCTTCTCAGAAAACACCCCTATAAAATAAGATCCAAAACAAAACCTCACTGAGTCAATACTGACCCATAGTAACCCCATTGGGCAACGTAGAACTATCCTGGTGAGTTTCCAAGACTGTAACTGATTAGAGAATTAGAAAGTCCCATCTTTCTCTCATGGAGCGGCTGGTGGTTTTTGAACTGCCAACCTTGTGGATCACAGCCCAACACATACAGACTGTACCACCAGGGCTCTCTCTAACATCAAGATGTGTTTTTTGTCTTTCAGCAGACAATAGTCACAAGGAAACAAAGACTTGGTTCACACCCACTAGTAAGGTGGAGACACAGAACACATCCCACCTTAATCCTATCCTTTAGCATAGCAGAGAACACCCTCCAAAATGGGATTCTAACTGCAAGCACAGTGGATAGAATTTATAGTACATCGCAAATGGATTAGGGATAGAAGGGTAATTTAACTGACTACATCTCAGATCATGAAGTCTGGAATATGATAAGGAAATTTATGAGTAACAATGTTAGTAAAGTCTTTCAACTCATTTGTACACTATTATTAAATTGCGGGCAAATTGTTGTGACACTATTCAAATCTAAATAAAGCAGAAGAACTCAGGGCTGCCCCCAATTCCAGCTATGTCGAACCCCCTCCCCAGAAGATTGCATTATAAACGACAGCACTGAAGATACAGCCTGGAGAGAGTGATGGGTCTGCCCAGACCACACTGGAGCAAACTAAGAGGGAGGGAGAGAGAGAGAGAGAGAGAGAACCCCATCCTGACCAAGTCCTGAGGATAACAAACACTCCTGCTCTGAGGAGCCAAGGCACAGACACCGCACCCCCACCCCACCCCACCCCACACACACACCAGGTAAAACAAGAAGGAAGCACACCAGAGCAGCAAGGGGGAGCAAAGCAACAAAGTCCCCCACGAATCCAAAAAATCGACATCAGACTTGGAGGGCAGGGCTTGGCACCTCATCAGACTCGATTGGAAAAACATATATAAGAGTCAGCAGACAGAACTGGAACTATTTATAAGCTCTTTCCTTCTTTTCCTTCTCCTTCTTCTTCTTCTTCTCTTTTTTTCATGAGGAGAAAACAACTGCATCTACTGTCCCCAGGGGGCAGGGGAGAAGAGGAGGTGGGGGAAAGTGAAGAAGAGCCAACAAACCCAGGGAGAAGGGAACAACAAGAGATCTAAAATCAATGGCGAGGAGGGTGTGGAATGCCTGGTGGGGTTTGATCAAGTGCAACGTAGCCGAGAAGAATTACGGAGAGCTGAATGAAGGTGAAACATGATAGTCAAACAGGAGAAAAGTAAAAGAGGAAAGAACTGGGAGGCAAAAAACATTTATAGAAGTATAAATATTGGCTTGTATATATGTAAATCTATTAATATATAACAAAAAGGATATAGGTCTATGTACATATATTTATATATTAAGTATCAAGGTAACTGTGGTAGTTAAATAATCTGGTGTCAACTTGAGACTATTAAGATTGAAGGGGTGGAATTTAGCCTGTCAATCAGGTCACAGCTTGATGACTTCATTTGGAGGCACTACAGAGATAAATAGCTCAAGTAGAAAGAAGACGTTTTGAAAATGATAATGGCAACATATGTGCAATTGTGCTTGATACAATTGATGTATGGATTGTTATAAGAGCCCAATAAAATGATTTTAAGAAATCAGAAAAACTCAATGCTGATCA